TATTTATGAAACTTTGGCACTTTTATTCTCTTTCCTCTCCTTTTTGTGCGAACATCGAGGGATTTTGCACAGTGATTGCACAGCAGTGTCTATTTTTGGGTGGCGTCCGGCATGAAGTGACATCCATTCCCATCCTTAGCTGATGGATTGATTGATCTTTTGGTGTATAATTACAAAAACAAAACAAAAGAAAAAAAAATCCAACTGCTCATCACATTTCGAATAAGAAACCTCATTAAAACAAATGGCATTCATTTTGTGTGCAAAATGTTGCGTCTGCTTGAACATTACTCCGTGAACTGATAATTAACCTTCAATCAGCTCGAGTCAAATGATTAAGATTTGTTTATGCGCGTCCAATAGGCCGTCTGAGTGGGAAAAAAAATCTCAGATTAGGTTGGTTATAATGCCCACCCAACCTCACCCCTCCCTCCAGTAAGCGAGGTGATCCCATAAGCTGAAAACAAAGCCTCTTTACTGCCAGTGATAGGGCAAATCCGTTCCTGCTCCGAGAGATTGGGACTGGTCGGAGCATCTTTCCCCCCCCCGCCCCCCCGCTCTCATTTCCGGGCCCTCCGTCCAGCCGGTTCAATACGTTTTAGAGGGTGAAGCGATTGATCCGAGCGCCTCTCTCCCCTCCCGCAAACACATCCACATGTGTTTTTTAAGTGCATTACGTTGCCGAGCCCGTCTGTCAGCACTCCCGGGCAGCATGACGAAGTAAAGCCAGCCATTTAGTTTTTCCAAACAGGAGCAAACAGGCCACTCCAGCTCCATTACGGGCTCTTTCCGCGATGGAGAAATGGCTTTCTGTCTTCCAGTGTAGTGCTTCACCCACCATAATCCACTCTAATGATATTCTAAGTATCCTCCTGTCCTCAAGAGATACTCTATTAACAACAAGATATGGCCATTTTTCGACTGCTCCGGGGACAGAACAACAGATTTATGTAAAAGGAAGAAAATAAAGATGTTGATTGAGGACACATTTCTTTAAATGGGATTAAAAAGGAGGATTAATACACTTTGTCAGACTAAAATAGCTGTACTTCTTTGGTCGACCTAACCCCCCAAAAACCCCCAACCCCAAAAAAACAAAAAAACAAACACTGACATATGTAAAACTGAAAGTCATTGAGCACAGGCCTATGCGTTGAAAGGTCGGGTTTGTTTACATCCCCCCCCCCCTCTTGTAGCTGCAGCTTTGGGCATGATATCAATCGACCAGCAGATGTTTTTCTCCTGTAAAGTTTGTACAGTAACAATGTCTGATCAGCATATCATCCAAAAGGGGGGGACGCAGAAACTGGCCCTGGCTGCAGAGTGGAGGCTCACCAGAGCAGTGTTAGTCCTCCAACTCCATCTTTTTTTTTTTAATAAAGAAGTCAGCTGGTGTAGAGTAATCTGCAGCACCGTGAGATGTGTTGGCATTTACTGCACAGCAGCGTGGACAGAGCTCAGTATGGAGGCCTTCAGGATGCCTGAATACAGTGTTTGGAATCATCAATGGGACAACCGCAGAGGCACGAACACTAAGAAACTGTGGAGGATCCGGAATGCTCCTTTAAGACAGCCGCGCTTGTGTTCCGTTTTATTCGATAGATTCGTTTTGATTTATAATTTAAAATGAGAAGAAGAAAAAAAAAATTCAGCTCCTTACCTGGCCAACCTCACCGAGTCCTCCGGAGCCGTCGATGCGGGGACGCTTGCACTCTGCCCCGGTGGAGTCCACCAGAGCGGCCGCCGTCTGTGCGTCGGGCTCTGGGTCTCCGCGCTTCATTCCCCGCACGACTGCCGGGGCTCCACCTGGGTTGGGGTGCACCCCGGCCATGGTCTCCAGCTCTCTGTCCCGGTCCATGAGAGCCCGGGACACGGGAAGCATGATGGAGGCGACGTCGGTCGACATTAACATTTAAAAATCCGTCTCTTGTTCCCTTTTTTATTAGCTAAAGTGGGGGGCTAATTATCCTGCACCTAGACGCTTAAAGCAAGCCGGTGGAGGATTTTTTTTTAAAGGATTTTGGTATGCCTAGTTACCGTCACTGTTTTTTTCTTAAACTGGGCCTTTGTATAATCCCTTACCAAAAGAGTTGGTCTATCTATAAATGTTTTCGCTCCCCGGTTTAGAAATGTCCTTCCACAACAATTAGCTCATGAACGCCGCTTCCCCTTCACTCAAGAACACGGAGGGGGTAAAAAAATGCCCCAGAAAATAGAAAAACAGGATTGTCAATTCGATCTCAAGCTAAATAGCCCCCCGTCTGTTGACCGTGTATGTATTTACTGCTGGGTTGCCTTAGAGGCCTGCGTTATTTCGGATCATAACAAAACCAATTGGACACCGATCGCAACAATGGCTCCTGAGCTCAGTCTACCGCTCAGTTTCCATTTGCCGTTTTTTTTTTCTTCCCCTCACTGCGAAAGCCGAGTGTTTTAAAAGCGCAACATCCAAAACCCTACCGCAACCTCAAGACGAAAACCCCCTCAACATGTCTTCCCTGTCGCCTTTTTCCCCTATTAGCCACAGGCTTGAACCACAGAGAAGAGGTTCACTGAAAGTCAATCCTCCTCAGGAGCTCTTGCTTCCCATGTTAGTCCGCAAGTATGCGTTCAAAGGAAAAAAAACGCTTCCCCCCTTAAAAAAAGAAAAAAAACATGGGAAAAGGACGGACGGATGGACGGACGGACGGACTCGGGGGCTGCGGTGTTTCCTTCTCCCTCTCTCGGTTATTATTTTCTTCCCTCTCTCCGTTTTCCCGGCGGTGTGTTCGTGTAGCGTGTGTGTTACAGAAAGGAAACTGTCCTCCCTCCCTCCCCCTCCTCCTCCCACTCTTGCTGTAGTCATTCCCCTCCTCCTATCTTCCGCTCTGCCTTTGAACGCTGAGCCAGGCAGCCATGCAGCCTGCGAAAATACACGCAGCGTGCCGCAGTGCTTCCATCCATTTCACGGAGGGGGGGGGGTGTGTGCGTGTGTTTGAAAAAGGGGAAGAGGGGATAGCCCTTAGAGACTGCCATGCTTCTTTACTGACCACATCCACCCCTCAAACCCTATTACATGACCCCCCCTTCCACCTTCCCCCCGCCCCATTCTTTTTCCTTTTTTTAAGCCTCCTTAAATCTCAACTGGCGCTCAGTTTTCCAAACGTACACCTCCAGTTTTCTATGGAGCTCGTCGCACATTACAGGGCTCCGTATTAAAAGGAGTGGGCTCCTTTTGCGAGGTTTTCGTGCCTGACTCGTTACACAACCAATGCCCAGGCCAAGGTCTCCACACAAGCCCAGCTGTGAGTCATGCAGCATGAAGCGCCTCGTGTTCCGCTGGCATTTTTATTGCTTGGATGACACCCAGTGGTCAAAGGGTACCGTGAGAAACGGGTAGTTAAAATGCCTATTTGTTAAGCACACCCGAGTGCAATTGCTTCCAATTACACGGGCAAGGCCGTTTAATCATTTCTTCAGAAGGAAGTTTGAGGATTATCCTTTTTTTTCAAAATATATTAAATAATTAGGGCCGTAGTTCTAGGTATGTATGCCCCTTCATAAAATAGGAACCAAGTCCTTAAAAGCGTATCTGATGCATTTAGTAACACAAACATCCTCAGTGTATATAACTAAATGAGAAATAAAGTATAAAAGTTAATTGTGGGCTTAAGCTGTTCTTAAAAAAAAAATATATATATATATATATATAAATGTAAACTAGATGCCAACATTCTTTATGGATAGCAGCAGATATGCAGAACAGCCTGGAAACCCTCCCCCCCAAATATTCCCATTTTCTCGTGGCCAGTCCAGATTATAAACAACAATTACTCTGCCATTTTTAGCTCAAACAAAAGTGACAGTTGTATGTGCACATTATCGCAGAACATCTGCCGCCCACAAATTACAGGGTGAGACAAAGATATCTCCATGAAGTTTGAGCAGAGTCCTCATTTCCTGCAGTCCATTGTCCACTTACACGTACATGGACTGTCACCTCGAGTCTGTGGGCCAGAAGTCTTTATTGTAAACATTCTCTTGGAGATGCCGAGTTGCATTGTCATGAGACCGTTTGCTCTTCTGAAATTAATTTGATGGGCTTATTCCAACTCGGAACAATTTCTCAGGCCTAAAGCTGTCCAACATTTCCTGTCCAGGGGAAGAGTGCTGGCCAGTCCCATCAGAGGTGGGAATGCTGAACGCTGACAAAAAGATTCTGATTTCTCTGCTAAACTGCCTATGAAATGAAGGCAGAACACGTTGGGTCTCTGCATTTTGACTATGAAAAGCATTTTAACAGTCCAATTGCACAGAAGGTAATATTTAGACACCACAAACTATGTTCCTATATGTGCATTGTGTGATGTTTTAATAGCTTCCCTGCCTGAGAATGTAAACATGGCACATTTCAATAATCTGGATCGGTGCAAATAAACTAGAACGTATAGTATCAGAATGTTGTGGCAAAGCCTGCGTATTGCCGCTTTGTGATTTAGTGAGTGAAGATTGGGGAGGGAGGGGGGACATGTATCCAGAATTCTCCAATATGGACGTGCACCCACTGTTGGACTTCATTTTATTCTAGTCAAACCTAGGAAGAACATCTGCTCAATATGGAGAGTTCAGTTGCTGCTTTCAGTCAGGTCATCGCTTTGTGTGCTCACACGTTAGAAAACAGCTGCCTACAGCTGTCCCCCATATTTCATGCAAGTTGTCGACAACACCCCACGTGTGACTAACAACACACAGATTGGAGATCTGTTGCTTAGAAGTTGAGATCCAGCCCCCTCAGGCTATTTGAATGAAATATTTTTCAAAGGGTACTGCATTTAATGTGCTTAATTACCTTAAAACAAAAAGCGGGGGTTGCATGGCAATGCAACAATGGATTACAAGGCATTGCTCAGACATTTTTCCTTCCCTAAACACCACTCAAGTTATCAAGCTGGAGTGTATATTTAGTTTTGGTTAGAGGATAACAAATGGAAAACATTACAGTTCAGATTTGACCACAATGGTCACATGTCTCCAAAGAGCCAATTCTTTTTAATGCCACCTGGCTCCAGGGTTAGGAACACAAACACCATCAATGATACTGAAGAGCTTTTATTGGTGGTTAAATGAGGGATCTGAAGCCAGGAAAAGAAAATGTGGTCAGAATAAAGACAATCTGTGATAAGTAGTTTCACATATCTGCTGAACTTACCAAATTATCTGGATAAACTTCAAGCATCCTCCATGTCACAACTAAGAAAACTGGAAATGGATCAGTCTTAATAAATTATTCAGCCCTCATTATTTAAACATTGTCCTGCTGTCATATGGAGCTGTAGCTACTGACGACTCTCAGGCTGTTTTCACCGAGTAGGAGGGTGGTAATGAGAACCATTAGCGAGGGTTTTTATAGCTCCTACCAGAGCTCCTGACAGCGTTGTGAATGATTCGATAGATAACTTGGTTTCCTCACCGTCAGTGGGCAAAGCATCCTTCAACACAAGGCCCATTGTGTGGCGAGCAGATTTCAGTTGAACACATGAAGTAGATCTGAGAGGGAGGCACAAGCAACACAGGAATTCATGTAGTGTCTCCCGAGCGTAGTTACTGTGACAACAGCTGCAGGCCAGTGGTTCGAATCTTAAGCTTACAAACTGGCCTCTGCACATGCTTCGTCATAAATTATCAGAAGAACTGGATCTAAATAAAAGTAGTTACATTGTCTTACATTTCTGCAACCCTGTTTAAGTGTGTAAAGCACTTATAAGAAGTCTTGTTAAAATTCACATTTTACAACTCCATTATAATGGGATATGGGTTGCAACATAACATACTTTACCTAAATTCTGCTCTTTAAACTTACTAAAGAACTGAATAATTTCAATGTGGGTAAGGCCCATTCAGATCTTAATCCACAAACTGCTCTTTCTTCTTAAATTTTGTTGCATCGTGCCTTATTGACAACTTAGGTCGAAAAAGTTTTATATGGATAAATAGGAGCAATTTAAAGAAGTGTTACAGCTCAACTTATTGAGAGATACACGTTTTTAGAATGGATTATGTTTCTATAACGCTATGAGTAAAAAATACTACAGAACTACTTTAAAACCTTTCCAAGTGTCAAACAGTTAAAGGCCTTGTCGCCATCCTGCTCTACCTCTTCATCCGTGTCCTGGAATTCACCGTCAGGCAGAAACTGGAAGGTGCTGACGGTGAAGCGGCGGGTCTGACTCTGAGGAGCAGGTGCTTTAGGGTAAGACAAAACTGCCTTTGATGGTTCTGGATCCAAGGGGTTCGGACACCTACCCACAGTAATATCAGATTCATTAACTTATTCAATAAGTGGGTGACTGCAGTCAATCTGAACGTGTGTGTACAGAAAAAGGGCATTTCATTAGCCACGTCTGCTGGATTCAGCAAACATTCTGTTCACAAAGGAGATGTTTTACCATACCCGTTGTAAAGCAGCACCCACACAGCTTTTCCGGAGCGGGGGTAGGCAACACAGAAGTGCACCAGCAGAACCAAACTGGGATCTGGGGAGTTGAGGAGCCGTACTTCCAGATGGAGAGGTTTCCCCAGCAACATATGCAGAGGCTGGTGATACTGTGGGTAGTAGCTGCTGTAGTGAGCATCTAATAAGAGACAAGAAATTTAGACCAGAAATGCAAATACACAGTGCTTCATAATCTGGTGACTATAATGAATATTACCATTATCAGATTTGTCACCCCTGCATCACAAATCTAAATTTGATCTAAACATATTAATTGGATATTAAAAGAGTGATTTATGCTGAATTAAGATAATTTACCTTGGGCAATTCTAAGTTGGACTCCAAACACACCTTGAGTGTGAATCTCTGGACCCAAGGAGGGAGTTTTAACCATGTAACTCACACTCAACGCTGTTCCTGGCACGTACCTGCACTCAACCAGCAGCCTGAAAATGAAAAGGGAGGAAGAGATAAAAGCTCCAGTGACTTTGTAATACAATCAACTGCTTTTTCTGCTTTCATTCTTTTGGCTAAAGCTGTAAAATAGCTCAACTTTCACCAGAGTAGCCTTTCACTTCAGCCTTGAACGGACCAACTATCATCTTTCTAATGCAGTTGATCCTGCATTTAAAAACAAAACCCAAACTTAACAGATGCTCTGCTTCCTCATGGCTTCAGTGCTCCCTCAGTGTGCACTGGAAACAGTTCAGGAAAGGAGCATCTGTTGTGAGCAGCTTCACATCCGAGCAGTTCACATTTGTTTTGCCAGCGATATTCACGTTTCAGTGAACAGCCGTTTGTGGACGTTTCTGAATAGTCCAACCCTTTCCACCTGTGAATCTCAACCCTTTATTTCCACTTTTAGTTCATTAACCTAGAATTCGCTTTGTCAGATGGTTCAGTGGGCATAAAATGCTTTTTGTAGAACAATCAGCTGCATTAGTCCTGGTTAATATACCATATTGAAAATAAAAATATGACGGCATACACCAAAGCTGAAGCAATATCAAATCACTTATGCTGGCCAACAGAGTGATGGATCTGCACCCATCTAGTTCAACACCCTCTTAAAGCCCTATGTCACCGCTCGCCCACTCCGTTCCTCCAAGGAGCAACAACTAACACAGCTAACTCCCCTTACAGGTCAATATCCACTCTTCTGATCTGCAGTTCCACGCTGGTGGGACGACCTTACAAGCACTATCAGAGCATCAGATCACATTTCCTCCTTCAAGAAATCCTTGAAGACCCAGCTCTTCCGAGAGTATCTTTTGTCCTGAAATCTCTAAATGCACTTATTTCCCAATAGCATATAGCACTCAATGTATGGAACTTGTGTAATCTATGTTATAGTTGAATGTTAAATCCTTAATGTTAAAACCTCTTCTAGCATATTGCACTCAAGGAAAGGTTGGTGTGTAACTGGAGTTGTAGTTTAATGGTAAACCCTCTTTTTGTAAGGCGCTTTGGATAAAAGCATCTGTAAATGCATTAATACATGTAAAATATAATATCAAATTCAAAGACCCAGAATAAATTCCCATATTAGGCCCATCTCTGATTGAGTTTTGACAATGCAAGTGCTTGCTGTGAACACTGCGGATGTCTTAATAGGAGGAACATGAGCCGACCTGACAGGAGTATCCCTTGTGATGGTGCCGTAGTTGAGGCTCACTGCATGTATCATGTTGGTGATCTCCACCATATATACGACCGTCTTCCCCACCACCTGTCGGGACAGAAGAAGACATGCAAGTTTGTATGCTGAGGCCTTGAACGATATAGTCGATAGGAAATTATTGTATTCTAAATTTTTCATGTAGGTGCTGAGCAGGTTTTATTTATTTAGATTTTTTCTTTTAGAAAGTGGCATAGGTGGATCAAGAAGCTCCCATAATTAGAGAGAAGACCAGACAATAATAAAAACAAGTATTATTGAGGGGGCATTTGTTTCATTAGTTGTGGTTGTAAATTACCAAAACAGGAAAATCTTAGTAGAAACCACACCCTGCACAATAGAAATGTAACATAAGTTAAATAGGATAACTTAAAACGAAATTGATAAAAGCATTTGATCAAGTTGATAAAAAAGCAACTGTTCCTTCCAATTAAACATATGAACCAAACACTGCCACTATTACATAAGCACTGGATTAATTAAGCTTGAACAAGACAATGGTTCTGACTAATGCAAAGCATTTACAGATTCTGCAGCACAGCTGTGTCCTTGAACGTGGATTCTTTCTGTAACAAGTTAATGCATTGCTAACCCACTGTCAATCCATGTAGCAGCTGAGGGATTCTTGTCACTGATAGAGTCCTAATATAGTCACATACGAAAGAGATCCTTTGATTTTTCCAATTAAACACACCAACAGGTTCAGATTTATAATCATAAAGAGCATCACAGTAGTTATATTCTACATTTGAATGCCGGTTTCAGTCACTGATCTTACTTGCAGAGTTGTTAAAAATGACTAATCTTCCTAAAATCTCGTGGATTACTTGGGCCTAATCAGGTGACATCTTGTTTTAGGGGATGTAGTTTTTCTAAGAAAAAGGATGTAAAGTCAATTGGGGGGGCCGACTTTTGTCAAGTCTGGGGAAAAGAAAAGGTTACCCAGTGGGGATACCACCATCACCAATACAAAAGTACCAAGATTTAGGCTACCTATCCCCAAAAGCTTAATGACCTAATACAAGTCTTAAAACTCTTCATCCGAATAAAAAAGGCCCATAGATTGTTTGATGAGGGTCAAATTATTCCTTTTAAATCAGCCCACCTCAGGGCCTAACCTATAACAGAAGGCACTACTAACAACATGACCACAAGGATGACAAATCTAAAATGAACCACATGCCCTTTACAGTATGTTAAAAATATATATATAAATTCAAAATTGGCTGTCAAACTGTCAATTTTAAGCACAACAAGCAGCTATTTTTTATTTTTCTGTTTTGTTGATCCATGAGGTAATTGGCCCAAATAAAGCCCGATATGAACAACTTCAGGCTCAGCACCTGTCAGCCATCATTGTGCAGTTACACATAATTTGGTCTATAAATTGATCCCCTCCCGTCCCTTTAGGGACATGGCCAAATTCCATCTCTGACATTGGCTCTGTTCAGCTTTACAACAAAAGTGACTGAAAGCTTGAGTTCTTCTCCAATTAACAGTTTAGACAAAGAAGACCAAGATTTTTGAAAATGCAATGGAGCCAGTCCATTTATAGAGACATGAAGTCAATATCTTCAGAACAAAAAGAGGGAACAGCTTCCATGCCGTTGTGCTGCTTTACTGCCTCTTGGCACTGGTGGTATTTAATGCATCACTGGAAATATGAAAAATTAGGACATCCAAACCTTTTAGAAAGACACACTTTTTTGCCAAAAGCTGAATTTGAGGCTCAAACATACAACAGAGAGGGAAATGATGGACCAATTCAAACTGACCTACAATGAACCCTACACACAAAAATCTTGCTAATATCTACCAATGCAAAAATAATTTGCAGACATCAGCAGATGGGTGAATGAAGCTGCCAGAAGGTTTTAGGCCCAATTATGGACCACAGTTGTTCAAAGGTAGCGCAGATAAATAATGAACTGTGCTTTGTGACTATAACACAAGACTTTTTGCTTTTGATTAAAAAAAAAACAAAAGATTGTAAGATTGTCATGATAAAAAGGTAACAGCAACTTCTAGTAATGTGTCCTATAAGCTAAGCAATATAAACAATTCAATATTCTCACTTCTACTCTTGATCATTGATGCCCTTGAAGAGCAAGGAGAAAAACATTCACATTTTGTTGTGAATACCATTTAATTTCTTAACATTTATTACATTTGAATGAGGTTAAACTCACCACTCTGCGTGTCCCACAGCCATCCATTGGGATATTGAACAAGGCGTAGTCAGAGGTCGCTTTTTCAGGTGTGCAGGTTGAATTGTTGGCAGCAACAAGTAGAGCAGGGGAAAGGGGGGGGTCTGTAAGGGAGGCGGGCACGTAGAAGATCATGTGGCGGTCAATAGTGCACTCTGGAGGGGGACACAAACACACATAAATGGATACACACAGTCATGAAAAGGTCAGATGAACAAAAGGTCAGAAAGCTCAGGAGGCAATTGATAATGAGACCCAAGGTTTCTTCGAGCCTCTTCAATGCAAGCTTCAATCACACTGTGTTGGCTGTGAATATGCTTATTTCACCATTCGGCAGCTGTAGCACTTATATTTCTTCACTCACAACCACTCAACTGTATTTAACCAAGTAGCGTGAAAATGCCAATAGGGACACAAAGTGCGGCTCACCATCCATGGGGTAGTGGCAGGTTGGGGGGTGCTTGTTGAAGCAGCAGCCCATGGAGAGGCACTCTGTCTGGGACACAGAGCCAGATCCACAGGGGAGACGGTATTCGCTATGAAGGTCGCACTCTGAGGGGCAGCATGACAAATGTCAGAGGCACAGTTAAAATAACTAGGAACTCCACAAAACAGCTTTTGGCAAATTGAACAGCTTTTCAGAGAAGAGAACACTTAAAAAAAAAAAAAAGTATATACCATTGCCAGACCTCGGAATCACAACTGGACACGAAACATGAGCCTCCTTTCTTCCACTTTCTGTCATGTAGATGACAGTAATGATGTAGGTGGTACCCTTGGGAGGAAAAATATTAATTTAGGAGTTAATAGGCACATAAAGCAAAAGGTGAGCTCCTTGCAGAATTGGAAGTCAATACTTGCTTGCACACTCATCTGACAGTGTGAATGGAGCTGCAGAGTCAGATGGATTTTGCCATCTTTGGCCACCTCTGCATGATAACCACAGTCTTTCGACGCTTCAAGGAGATTCACCTGGTTCCCCTTGATATCTGAGGGAGGAGTCACATGTTGGATAAAAATGTTCTTTGAACAATCTGGGGATACACAATTACAGCTGTACATTTTGAAGACTGAGGAGAAATTCTCCAGTAATATCAAAAGCCAAGTCCACTTCCTACCCCTTTCAGTCTATATCAGTCGCTGAGCCATCAGAGCTCTTTGCATACATATGCACCTGGAACGTATAAACCAGCACAGAGAAGCAGGCACTCACCCGTAACTGCTATTTCTGAAATGGGACCAGGGGGGAGAACTACATTCATCTGCTGGGGCATACAAAGGACTTCAGTCCTCATGACAAACTGGCTGCTCTCGTCCTTGGTTGTGCTTGGTGGTAGCGGAATAGTTGAGGGAATGGCTGGTGCTTGAGTTTCAGGCACACTTTGATATGGGCAACGCAGGTCCCAGGTCCTATTCTGCCAGATGGAAAGGTCCCAATACCTTATGTGCAAGGAAATGGTTGACGGGGGCTAACAGAGGAAGAAAATCAAACAGTATAAGCACCCAGGCATGGTTTCTTGTTAATATGTTAAGAAAAAAAAAGGCTGACAAACCAAAGTCATTGCGTTTTGCACCAGCTGAGTAGCACAAACCAAAAAAAAAACAAAAAAAAAACACCACCCTGCCTCGATAAAAGTTGCACCTTTGCCTATTATTGTTAACGGAGCACGATTTAAGGAATGTAAACATTTGTATGACCAAAGAAACTCAGAGGCATGGAACAAAACAATCCAGGGAAGTCTCACCTCAAACTGGCTGTGGCAGGCAGGCAGGGGAGAGTAGAGGATCACCCCATAGCCAGCAACAATCTGTACCATGTAGCCGCAAAGTTCAGACACACTGGACAGGAGCATCCATTTCTTTAGGTGTTCTAAGGTTAAAGAAGATTACAAGCATTAAAAGCATTGGCGTTGTTAGATCTTTCACAGGAATATAAAAACCTATACATTTAAAAATGGTTCAGCTTATTCAGAAAAAGTGTCCTTGAGAAATGCATCAAACTAATGTTTAAATAAATAAAAAATGGCCAATGGGAAAGTCTCTATAAGTTTAATTTAAGCTGAACAGTTAACACTTCAACTTGCAATTATAGTTTAATGGGGAAATAAATGATGCAGTATCCTTTAAAAAATTGGGTAGTATTCAACATTTCCTATTAAAGTTCATTTACCTCACTTTAAGTGAAATGAAAATATTTGGTTATGCCTTCTGTGGCATTTAATAAAGTGTCCCTTAATAAAAAGGAACAACAGCCTAAAGTATGTTGGAGCGCTCTGCGTGCAACTGTGTTTCAGATATGATTTTTTACACATCAGCAGAGTAAATTACTAAATCTTTGAAGTATTTCAGACTTAACCAGAAAGGTCTCCAAAAACAATTATATAAGCTGCCAACAGTACAACCGACAGTAAGACTATAACAGTGTTGAGTATTAAGCTGAAATATTGCAATTTTGGGTGCACATAGCATTACCTTGTGTTAATGAAAAATAAGGAATAAAAAAAAATGGATGCAAAAATAAGTTCCAGCTATAACACTTTCCTTAAAAATACATCTTTTAAACCTAAAAACTTAGAATTGCTAAATGTTTTTTCTAGCTTGCAGAACTGACCTCTGACCTGGATGGACGCTGGGTCAGCAAAAGGCAGGAAGACAACCAGTCTTCCCTTCAGACACTGGAGAGATGGAGTGTGTGGAGTGAGCCAAGGTGGGGAAGTGGTGGCGGAAAGAATTTCCATCTTTGGATGGTTACTATCCACAGAGCTGGGCAATGAAGGATGGGGCCGATCGTTGTCTTGTGGTTGGAAAATGTGATGATAGCCACATGAGGGGTCACTAGATGACCGGCACGTAATTTGCGGTGCGTGTGGTTTCTGGGGCTTTCCTTTGGCAGGTGGTAGATGTTTAGGTGGTGGAAAGTAAGGGGGATGTTTGTCATAAAACTGGTTGGATGGATATGTGGAGCTGCCTCTGGTACTGGCTGTGGGGATACCAAATGAAGCAGAAGGATGTAAAGCTGGGTGGGAAACTAGCCACTGAGCATAATACGACAGCTGTGGCTTAAGCGGACTGGTTTGATGCTGTGGATGTGTGGGCTGTTTTAGTGGAGAAGGAGAAGGGAAAGGAGAAGGCGCTTTGGTTGTTGGTGCTGTTGCGAGTGCAGGTTGATAACTTGCTAGAGGTCTAGGCTTTTCTTGCATTGTTGGAGCCAATGCACCATAGGAGTGTAGAGGATGGGGTTCATATTGAGAAGAGACGGTGGATAATTTAGGAACTTGATGGTGAAAATGATCCCTCGGTATAAGATAAGGATATTGCGGGTGACCGTTAAAATAGTGGCCCGACATGTCGGGTCCTGATGGGTACTGGGACGGTTGCTGGGGCCGTTGAGGGACTTTAATGGTTGGCTGAAGTGGATGAGAGAATTGTGGGACAGGACGGTAGACCATGGGTAGGTGGTGGTACTGGAGGCCAGGGTGGGCGTAATAATGATGGTTCGGAATATGGGCAGTCTGCTGCTGATTTTGAGTTTTGGGTGGAGAAGAAAGAGGGGGCGAAGGTACGGTATGGGTGGGATCTGTAATGAAGCTTAACCAAGGGTAACTGGGCAAAGAAGTAGGGGGCTGATGCTGAGAGTGTTTATGGCTTAACTGAGGAAAGACTGGGCAGGATAGATCATATTCTTGATCATTTAGAGTAATCTTGAGTTGAAGCCCATTCTATATCAGAGAAAAGAAAAAAAAAAAAAAAAAAAATACTTGTTAAAGCCACCAACCTGCTGCAATGACCTTTCCACATAAGAGAACTTACGTCAACAGTGATACAAGGAGCGTTGTAGGAAATGACAAATATGATGTTCTTTGACTGGGACTCAGTCTGGAGTGCACATAGGTCAGATACAAACGGGCTCCAAGCTCCATCAACTGGAAAGAGTAAAAACATGTCATTCTGATCTGGTCAAAAATGCTCAGTCTAGCATCTTAGGAGTAATATATGACCATCTTAATAAAATATATAATGATTTTTTTCCCCTCCATTTCTAATTGAAAGAACACTTCATCTATAAAGTAAAGGTTTAAAAGACTGGTGTTTTTGGAGTCAAAATGTAACTAAGGAATTACAGTATATATGAATCCCATATGAAGCTTGGAAATGAAGCCCCATATACAGCAAGGGGAGTATAGTTTCACAAATCCATTCCTAAAATTCCAACTTTTGATTATTGTCACTGTTAACTGTTAATTAGTTCAGGTACTTTGTATTTCAGGTTTAAAAAAAGAAAATGAAGGGCTTCATCAGTAGTGTCTTTATTCTCCAACTTTCTTTGTGCTTCTATTATAACTCAACTCTTCCAGCTGTGATGCTGAACTTTTCACCCATATTAGGCATCTGATTTTTATTTAAGAAAATCTCTCTAAAAAAAACATCTTAAAAAATGCAAAAACTTGTTCCATACGTTTGTATTTATACAAGTGAATAATGGCATTAAAAGGGTAATTTACATAATGTCTGTTTCTTAAAGAGATTTCTTGCATTCAATGAATAACTGCAACTCAAAATAAATACAAAAACCTGTACATTGAAGTGTACAAGCTTTGTTTAATATGCTGGATGTTTAATAATATAAGGTTCCTTCTTGCAGCATTTATATAAATCATAGTTGAATGGTTTGTCAAATCAAAGTCCAATGCAGTTTTACAGCCCCCTTTGCAGTG